ATTTTTTCGCAGTGCGTGCAGACAATTGGGTAACATTTGATGGTTTCTGACCCGCAAAAAATCAAAGCTGTATCCAGAAACAATCAAATCATGGATATCTGTACCATGGAGCTTGTTCATCAACATACAGCAATAAAAGAGTGTTCGTGTCTTAGCCGAACGTCTCGGATCCAGCTGTCTTGGCATATTAAAGCTCAGACAAACAGATGGAAAGCTGACAATATGATTGTTTTTCTATGGCACCTTTTAATGCCTCATCTATGCAAGATATATGGAATTTTGCGACGTTTTGTGGAAACACATTATAGCCAAACGGACCCTGCTTGCTCCTAAAGCCCTCTTTTATAGTCTTAAGCGTTTGCACTTTTTCACTAGGCTCCTCCACTCATATTGACTAGAAATAGGTTTTTGCATTATTATCTTTTTAAACAATTTATCCGAGGCCTTTGAATGGATGGATTTCAGGGACCAGAGCTCATAGTGCTTATTGTTTGACCCTGACCCTAATCATCCGATCATCATGGCCCCATCCCCTATCATCCGATGGCGCAATGCCAGGCAACGGCAGAACTTAGCGGCAAAAGTTAAGCGTGCCGCAATGCTCGGCACGGTCCGTCCTACCGTCTGGCCTCAACTGCAACTTAGCGCGTCGCTGCAACCTGCCGCAGGGCACACCCGTCAGGGGCAACTAGCGAGCGCCCTGAAGCGACTCGAACCTACCCCGCCACGGGCGGATGGATAGGAAGCCAAGCGCTCTAACCACCTGAGAACCCTGGACTGACGTTATGTGTTTATGACTACGGTTATCATGACAGCAGATGGGCACGGAAAGGACCACGGAGGTCATGTGATTATGTGATGCATTACACTGTTCGAGCCAATTTAACACACTGAGTATATCATTGACCATATCATGATGCTGTTGAGTGCTGTTTTTGTCATTGTTGTTGGTGTAAAAACAAAAACAAAAACTATGAAACGCTGTGAAGCGATGCCGGCAACCCCCAGTTAGTATTATTCTGTTTACGGTGCGATTGCATTTAATCTCTTCATTTGTGAAATGACACATAGCAGTACATCTTTCTGTCCGTTTCATATTGACATTATGCCCAGTCCGTCCAAGCCATCAGCATTACAGCTAATCACGTTTCACATCTGGACGCGTGCGAGCTGCACCGCGCGGTATTCGAGCACGGTGACCTCATGCTCTCTCTCTCTCTGCCGGGTACAGAGCCTGCAGAGGGGCGGGGGGACGCTGACTTGACGTTGGTCGAGCCTGCGGCCCGAGAGTGTCGGTCTCGAGTCGGTCTCCCAGAGACGGGCGGGACGCAGTGATACAGGAGATCGCTCTGGCGTTCCCCAGCCGGCCGTCCGCTATCCGTGAAAGATCACAGCCTCCCTCGGTCCTCAGGATCCCATGATCAGGATTATGATCATGAATGATCGTGTGATGCGCTTCGGGCTGCGCCACGAGAGCACGGCGGCGCCGGGACAACGGCTGATGTCACACGATCGTAGCGCAGGGTGCGCGGGCCCAGCCCTCTTCTTTCTGGTGTGGCAATGTGTTGACGATCCTTCGCAAACTTGAGCGAGATCTGCTGTGCAAATGCTGACAAGTCGGATTAGTGCGGTGGCATTGATTTTTCCAGTCAAAAACGACAGCTGGATGCTACTTTGCTCGACATTCAGAGCCCAAATGTCGTCGTGAGATCAGCGGACATGCCCTGAGACAGCCTTAAAGCTGCTTGACTTGGCTGAGGTGGGTGCAGGCCAATTCCACGATAAACTGCCTTTGGTAGTTGATTGGCTTGGTACTGATTTCGATAAACGCGTTTTAATTCAGGAGGTAGTTTCATAACAGCGAAATAGCCGCTGCCAAGGCGACACTGCCTCGCTCGGACACTACCGGAACGAACCAATCCACATTGCTTGTCTCTCTTATCGAGATCTAGCAAGGCGGACTCACACTTATTTGATAGGTTATTTGTGAGTACATGCCGACCAGTGCGCTGGTGCTATTGGTTTACTGCTGCATCGATTTATCGGAATGCCAGTAACCAGCATTGGGCTTATTCTGACCACGCGCGGCACCGTAGGCAGTTGGTGGATGGGGCCGGTAGATGAGAACTTATGGCGGTCGCAGACAAAGAACCGCAATAAAGCCGGTATGAAGGGGGTCGAGAAGCAGCCCACGGGAACGAAGTAATCGCTTTGTTTGACTTTGAAAGCTGCAATTATCAATCCCTGACGGTAATCTTCTCGTCACACAGGTGGTCTGTACAGCGCACTGACTCGACCCGCTTGCCTGCCGAAGCCGAACTTTGGCACTTGTTCCAGGCTGTCAGGCCGATCTCACTGCGAATCCGTTCGCTCAAACTCCCGACGCGTTTTCCTAAAATAACCGGTCGTTTGTGACCCTTCAGAACTATCAGGACGCTATAGATCATCCCCAGTGGCTTTCAATTTACGATAATGTGAGGTACGTCAAACTTGCTCCCAAACGTTTTTGGAATGGTCATTTACTTTTGAAACGCCGTTCAGTGATGGATTGGATGCTCATGAAAGCGTTGCTTGCCATTTACTAACCTTTTAGCCCTGACCCATAAACCAGAAGGGGTCCGCCGGTGCCCAGGCCATATCACCGTCGTTCCTAAGTAATAGAGATAGACTGTGTGACTGGGACATGTGGCTGATGTTATGCAATTTCCGATGCCAAACAAATGTAGAGCATCTGAAAGTTTTTAGACCAAGGCTAAATGCTCAGATGCATCCTAACATTTCCTCTCTTTAAAGTATGGCTGAACTTTTCTTCTTCTTCTCAAGAATGGATTCAACTATGACATATTAATTAAACCCATAATCTTCGTTTCAGACTCACCCGTCAGCATCCCTCCTCTTATTTTTCGGAGATGTCATGGGGCGGAGGAAGACTGGCCCAGAGTTGATGTCAATGTTCAATGGAAATTTTTTCGTAGCTGTAAATAAGAATGCTCAGTTAGATTAATAAAATAGCTATGCCGCTAAAAATATCAAGCGGGCTGGAATCAGCCGGTGTGACTACTTTCAGCCGCATTCAAAATTGTTTAAAGATTGTTCTCAAAGCTTGAAACGTCATAAATACTTGGTTACCTTCCCTATGAAACATATTCATTCAAAAGTTACCCCGAGAAAGATTTTTTGGAGGCATGGTAGCACAAACCACGGATGTTCAAAGTTAGCGTGCTGCTGTCGGTTGTCTGAGCTCACCCGAAATATATGTATTTTTTTGGAATGTATCGTAATATGTCGCAAGCGACATATTACGGTACATAATAGGATGCTTAACGCTTGTTAAATGACACTGGTGGGTGCGGCAGCAATACAGGAAAGCCTTTCCTGACGCTTCATGTTGCACATGACGTAGGCGAAATAACTTAGAGAAAACATAACTTTGCTGTTATGTGTTACGTTGAGATTCATACAACGCAGGTAGTACAGACAATACAATTGCATGTGAATATCCAACACCTCATTCAGTTGGCCGCGTATGGCCTTGATGTCGAGCTCAGCCGTTGATAGATATTACTGTGGTTTATATCTGCTTGACTGCTGGCACAGTGTGCTTGCATATGGCGACGGTACTTCGACCGAAGCTTACTTAAGCACGGACAGTTGTAGTGGTATGCAATGGGAGAGATTTCAGAATCTATTATTGTTAAAATTGTGCGTACTATTTTAGGGTGTGTGTAAAAATGGCCTGCCTGTTAGCTATTCATTACGCTATCTGTATTTAACAAGGCGCAGCGTAGATGGAGATAGTTAGCATAACAATGATGCCATGCATTTGACACTAAACTGGACTTGATAAGCACAAAATGATTTGGTAGGACGCCTTCAGTGGGTCAATAGTGTCGCCTTAATTCAGATTGCTACATTTGTAGCAGTACGAATACCTTTTTACGATGACCACTAAAATCTAAGCACAGAAAAAGCACTCAGCGCTAGGCACCACGAAGCACCACAACGCCTCACTTCAATAACACTTCCCGTCTCACATACTTCCCCTTTTTCATCCGAGGCTACTTTAAGCCTTCTCATGTTTTATTTGTCCTTGCTTATTGCATAGCATGATTCCTGCCGGGTCTGCACCACCTTTTTACCTGATTCTTTGTGTTTTTCTTCTTCCTATCTGGGAGTGTCGCGACTTGATCTTATGTTTTCTGGTTTTAACGTACACTTTTTTGCATCGCTGGGATTGAGGGAGGGCCACTCCTGATTACCTGTTTTTGGGTAGCAATATAGAAAACAACTAGCCATGCTGCGGCAGTTTCCAGGTTACGGTGCTGCAACAACGCCAAAAAAAACAAAACATGACGGGTGCTGTAGGACAGAGAAGCACAGTTGGCGGAACGCTCGCGCATGACTGCGAGGAGTCGCGGCTCCAGGCTGGCTGTCCGTCCGATGTTTCGATAGTAGAATGCACATATCTACGCAGAATGTGCCCTGTCAGGAAAAGACACCGGTCAAAGATAATAACGCAAACTTGATAAAATTTTCTCACTGTTTACATCAGAAAATTATGATTTCATCTCGAAGACGGCAAAAAATAGCCAAGGCGTAAAACAATATATCTATGTATTTCACAATTTATGTGATATGTAGAAGTCCACAGTCTATACTGATTGTCTTATTTATTTTCAAATGTCGGTGTCTCAATATTCGGGCTAATACGAGTGCTAAATTCCGCCACGTTCTCTTGCGACAGCGCTCCGCCATTTACGACAGAGCGCCCCAATTCCACCGAATTCCTTCTGGCAAGGCGACACTCTCTAGTGTGACGACAAATGAGGCAATAACAATCGATCTGGAGATTAGCAACGGCTACATTCAGCCAATAACGTCCCTAGCGGCCGCCAGCAGGTCCGCATCGAATGGCGACGATTTTAGCTTTTGGTAGGCTCTACATCTGTGGTGGGATGTGGAGATCCGCCGTCATTTTGCGTTCCTGTAATTCACGTCGGTCTTAAATTCTAGCTAACATGTATTCATCATAGGGCCAGGTCTCTCACAACTCGTGAATCTTGCAGTGGCTTTTTGCAGCATGCACCACGTGTAATGCATAAACACACAGTCAGACATTGTACAGATTACATCAAGTCGCTGCGCTGCTGACACATTTTCCGCTTGACTTTGAAAAATGCACCCAAACAGAGACCGTTACAGATTAAAGTTACAGCTATGCCTCAACAACTACCTAAAAAATGTCCTAAAACGTCCGCGTTTAAATCAGTTTGGATTACACTGTTTTTTCAACACCATCCCGGCACATTTCATACACATCACTGACTTCAACGTGGGTCATTGCGCTGCGCTTGCACGATGAGCTCGATTCCATTCCCACGTGTTCTTACAAGCAAACGTCGTCTATTTTGTGTCCCCACCTTCTCTTTACGTTATCTTCATTCATCTCCCATCTAACCGCTCCACGTTACACTTGCCATGAGTCACCCCGCAACTGCTGCTCTGCGATGATTGGCCAAATTATCACATGCCCATCAGTTCTAAGACACCATTGGCCCGCCTGCTATGTCCCGGCTGGCCGCCTGGTGGCGGCAACCACTGTTTCAGCCACCGCAGTCACCGCTAGATGGTACGGCGGCGTATTGTCAGTTCAAGCGGTCGCTCACAGATGGCAGCTCGCACGTCGACCTATCGCCGCTCGAAACGGCTTATGCTCTGCACGATCCAGGTCTCGAAGGCGCTGACGCGAGTGTACACGCCGGGAATGTTCTTCCGTCCGCAGCCGATTCCGAAAGAGACGATTCCCACCTGGTACCAGAAACCCTCCTTCTCGCAGACCAGCGGACCGCCGCCATCGCCCTGACAATGTTTTAACGCGTCACACGACAGGCGATAAGAGCCATTTCACCGTCGGATAGTCGTCCATGAAATAACTTCACGTGTGTCCAGAGAGGACTTTATGCGCCGTATGATGATAAGCCATGGCTCAGTAAATGAAATACAAATGCGCTATAAAAACAATGGCGGTAGGCGGTGTACTGGCCAACAGCATCATGGACGTAACGTGAGTGATGAGCGATGGACGCCGGTGAATTTTCAGATCACTTTAAAGAGACCTCACCTCCCTCCCCTTCCCCAAATTATGGGCCCCTCCCCCTCCCCCCAATGACACGTCAAGCACTCACGTCACAGGCGTCGCGTCCCTCGGCGCCGGCGCACAGAGCCGTCTCCGGGATGCGGTAGTTGGGACCGAACTGGGTGCGCAGCGCGCGGTCACACGAGTCGCGGTCCCACAGCGGCACGGGGATCTCCTTCAGCACGACCGAGTGCTCGGACGCTGCGGACAGACGACAGTCAGAGTAGGGGAGAGGCGAAGGAAGGGACATCAGAACGCCGGCTGACGGGCTCGGGTTGTAGAGGGCCACCAGTCAATATTTGCTTGTTGTCTTTCTAATGTCGCTCGATGCCCATCTAGCATGGGCATCGAGCCCCATGTTATGGGGCTCGAGAGAGTCATGCTATGGTCTTCCGGCATAGTAATACGACTATCATTTCGAGGAATATCAAAGCGTCTTTGCGGCAACAGAATAAAGAAAATAATGACTTTGTTTCTCGGAGAAAGAGTGCAGAAAGACCTTGCTGGTGAGGGGCATCCCCATGGGGTGAGCAAAGCGAGGGTGGAGTAGCAGAGGAAGTGAGCAGCACCGCAGTACAGAGGAACGACGGCAAACTTGGCGAGCAGAAGCAGACTGAGGTGACAGCAGCGGAGGGAGCGAACACCGGATCCAGGGAACAGTAACAAAGTGAGGGGAAGCCAGCAGAGCGACGGAGTAGAAGCATTGACGGAACAACAGCGGAGTGAGGGAACACAATCAGGGTGAGGGGGGGGGAGGGACAGCACGCCCTGCACGCCTTCCGGGGTCCTGTCACTGGAGAGCACCCTCAAACGGTGGCGTGTCCACCGAGGCCATTCTATCGGAGAGAACCCACGAACGGTTGAGTGCCGTCCGGGGCCCCTCTGCTGGAGAGCCCCCAGAACGGTGGTGTGTAGGTTGGGGCCCTTTCGCTGGAGAGGCCCCGCGAAAGATGGCGTGTCGGTCGGGCCCTTCCGCCGGAGAGGCCGCGCGAACGGTGGCGTGTCGGATGGCGCGCGTCGGGGGCGTGGATCACGTCAGATTTGGCCGATTAAATTAACGGCGCCCAGATTAAGCCGGCCGGCAACGTGGTGGGTTTGGCTGGCCTGCGCCGGCTGCCGTCTGCCACCGTTCTGGCGCCGTCCGCGTCGGGGCTTAGGGGGAGGGGTGGTCAAGAGGGTGGGGGAAGATTCAAGACGGAAGCTTAGACGTAGTTCGCTGTAAAAAAAGCTCGTACCGAATTGTCTCCGCAAGGGTTCTGCTATCCAGAGATCTTATACAAACTGGGCCTTCAACAGGGCCAGGAAGAGTGGGCGGAGAGAGGGCGAGGGGGGAGGTGGCAAGTGCGTTCTTAAAACAGCAATTTGAACTGGGTCGCATCGGGACACATGTTGGCTATGGTATTACGCAGTAGGCGGCATGTGGCTGTAAGGAAAGCAGATGTTGCTAACAAAATCTGCCCAAACAGATGCAGTCTGGAGATGTCAGAAATATATCTAAAATCAGGGAGATGATTATAATACAAATGGCAACGAGCGCACAGCAAACACAATAGAGCATTGAAGTGCTTAAAGAGAGAAATTACCGGCACATTAACGGGCAGATTATGCACAAATTAAACCCCGTCAGCAACGAAACCAAAGATACCATACCCATGCATTAGTCAACGGCCACTCTTTTCAGAAGATTGCAGCGGGTTAGCGCGAGCTGAGATTGGCTTGCATTATGAAGGCTGCCCATTCAGGCATCCATCTTAGTCCAGCCTTCCCGGTAACAGCATCACAGCCACAGAAGATGAGTCTGGGCGACTTGCCACTTGGTATGGGGCAAATGGGCATGGTCATGTCGTATGAAGCCATGTAAGGATTGGATTTATAAACAAATATATATACGTCTCACCCTTCTCACGACAGTGATGCAGTGTAGTGAAAATCGTTTGCATGCTGTAAAAGTTTTACATGCTTCTGCAGCGCTAAACACATATGACGTTATGCATGCCGAGCTTTATACTAACGTTACTTTTCGTTATAAACGCCACACTCCATTTCTTTTTCCGCAGGAACAGAGCATAACTAAAATTGATGCCGCACCGCGGTAGTACCGTTACTGGGGTGCTCAGTGCGCAATGCATCCTGACTTTCAACAATATCTGACAACATATCAAGTATTTTTCTCCCACGGTGCTTGAAAAGTGTGAGAAGACGCACAAATGACTGATGCCAAAAGTATTTCGATCCAATAGGAAGCACGCCTTCAGAATGATAGTTGAGTTGCTTTTAGCGCAGCTTCAGTGCATGCGAGGCCTCGGACCTAACGAAGCGCATGGCTGCAGCCTGAGGTGATGTCACGAGTTTACAGACGAGAAACAGAGCTCGGCTCTCCGGTCGCTCGATACAAACGGGAGGAGGGGGCGAACGGTGGCGTCACGCGGCCTGACTAAGCCAAAGGAACAACATCCGGGACCCTGAGCCCCAGCTCGCACGTGATGGCCCCATCCCAACGTGACAGGGATACGCCCGACTCGATGGCTGGATTTCGGTGGGGATTATCTTATCGACAGTGTGGCAATTGCAACCAAAAGACGGGGGCTTCGCTGAGAGAGAGCGAGAGGCTTGGACAGGAGAGGGAGGCATGAGCTTTAGGCGTGTGGAGAGGGTGGTGGATCTGGGGGAGGAGGAGCGGCGGAGCTGAGAGGAGAAGCGGCGGAGCTGAGAGGAGGAGCGGTAGAGCTGGGAGGAGCAGGACGAGAGCAGTGCAGCCACGACCTCACAACTGCCCGAAACCCATTCCTGGGAGAGGCCAAGTTGTCGCGGGCTGTGTCCAATTTCAGCTCGAAGACGGATAGGATTTTATGAGACGCGCTGGTTTATGAGACGCAGGTTATGAATGATGGTGATGAATTCTGAGCGAATAGCGCGACAACGGACCCGGTAATACTCGCACCAGTAGGTGGCGGTTTGGATCGCTTCTGCGTCGTTGAAGGATATGTGCGCCTAAGAAGTTGATAAACAGGGAGCGTTGGTAACGGTCTGAGCCCAGCAAGTTTCATTATGGTCAACAAGCCTTGTAATCCGATGGCGTCTTTACGCGAAAGTACGTGCAGCTCATGTCACTAGCTCACATGCGTTGATAATGAGTCTCGAAGTGAGAATAGGCACGTCGCAACCCAGAAATCGGACTAAGTGACGGTTAAGCCAGTTCATTGACTATACCATCGGTCAAAAACTTTTAAGCACGTCATGGTATTAATTCGATCATATACGCTTACACTCGTATAAGTGGAAATCAAGTGGAATGATCGATTTATATTTTGCCCAGCGACTTCTTCAGACCTGACTGCTCAGGACTCACTTTGTATGCATCCTGACGAAGCCGCGCGGCGAAATATGTTTATTTGTTCTTTCAGCGTAATAGTTTAACCAACACGGGCGTGAGCTACTCTACTTTCAAGAAGTGGCAAGGTACTGAAACTCATAACTAAACATCTAAACTCATAATTAAACATCTAAACCCATAATTAAACACTCTTAACTCATAACTTAACATCGAAACTCATGACTAAAGCAAAGACGCTTAAGAAAGCAATATCAGTCTCGACAGCATTTCAGCTCTGAAATTTGAAAAAAGCTACAAGCTTCGGGAATTTTGAAATGATACTAAATAGCAATTCAAATGAATTTCGATAACATTACTTGTGCACCCATTGTATTACCAACGGATCCAATGCATTACACATGTTTTTTGATAATTATGCTCACATCCACACTGCCTACCAATTTTAGGACCCACACACTAACGGCATGTTTTCACCCAAATCATATGCCATTGACTATCAAAATTTTCACCATCCGGCGAAGGTAAGCGGGTCAATTTTGCCCAGTGTGGAGGGCGGTCAGAACGCCTCAGGCAAGGCACCAGTTATTTCTTCTCTGTACCGGCGCAGGCGTGGACGCCTCAGGCGAGGCACCGCCATTTCCTCTCTGTACCGGCGCAGACATGGCTCCAACACCTCTCTGGAGACCACTGAAAAGCCCGAATCTGCATTACGTTAAAGGCAAATGCCTCTCGGGGCCAATTAGTTTGATATCTGAGGCAAGCCTTCTTTTGTAAACTTCGCTTTCATGCTGGGAACTTCGCTTGCATGCATACTTTGTTTTACATTATTCAAATTTCGCGCAGATTCCTGACATCTTCAAAAGTGTTCACTTTCCTCAGCCTGCTCCATAATTACTGGCATGACTGTGGAAGCGAGTGACTGGCTGAGCACATCCGCTGCTCACTGATACATTTAGGGGCCAGACATAATCCCACCATTGCTGGAATGCACCCGCTGCTAATGGTCGGGAGTTGATGTTTCAAGAAGTTTAAAGAGGCGATCCTGTAGGAAACTTCTGGCGCACAAGAACACCATGCAGCTTAATATCTTTCGCCGGGTCATGTGACATGTGACTTCGTTCCAGATAATAGCTGTAAACGGCAACGGCTCTCGGATGTGCACCGCAGTGTTCAGTTCCGATCGTTCTATGTAATTACGTAGATATATGACTTGTAATATCCATAGGCCTCACGCCTCTCCCCACCGCCAGATGTAAAGGCCGGTATAACATTTGCAAATCTAATTACGACATAATAAAGGGTGAAATGCAGTCCAAGAGCTTGCGTTTGTAAGTTCGCGCATCACACAATAGAAGGAGGGAATATAGGACAGTGCTAGGTTTTTGCCCAGTCGCCGTCAAAATGCAGTGCTTTTATTTTTGCATGCTGCCCTTTGCCGTGACGATGAAGGGACAATGTCTGCTCCCATCCAGAGCTCTTTGCCCCCCGATGACTCGTTGCTTGTCCATTGCTGTGTATTCATAGCCTTACCTATTACCAACGCTACGTAAATCCGCACCAATCACGGCCCTGAGAATGCTTTAAAATGCGTACTTCACAGCAACTGCAGGGTATCTGCCCGGAACCCATTAATAAGCAGCGTACAACACTGTCCACGGCTTCACGGCTCGTCGAATGGACGTGGTAGGTGCAGTCGGACCAGAGGTCAACGAGTCTCACTTGTTAATATGTTATGCTACACTTTGTCCAGTAGCCATAAGGTAGTGCGAAAGGTCATTGATCATGACAGATGCACAGACGTCCTATAACTTGGCAGTTAATTCGTCAATACGATAGTATCTTTACAACTATGGTCACTTTGCTTGCTAGCTAGCTAATCGATGTAGCCCTGTCTCTGGCGACATAGGTGTACCGCTGGCTCTAGGGACGTCGCGGGCTAGGGAACATAACATTTTGTACAACGCAGGCCCTGACATCACTGTCTCTGACCAACCCTAGCCGGTGACCAACCCTACCGACACCAGTACGACACAGCTCACCCCCACTCTCCAACCGGTGCCGTAACCACACTTCTTGTTCGGTACAACTCACTCTCGTTTGTCTGTCCCCAGCCGGTGGCGTAACCACACTTCTTGTACAGTACAACTCACTCTCGTTTGTCCGTCCCCAGCCGGTGACGTAGCAGCGTTTGCCCTTGAAGGCCGAGTCGTGGTTGTGCTTGGGCATGCAGACCGCGTTGACGTTGGTCTGCTTCTTAGCTGGCGTCCGCAGGCGGAGCAGCGCAATGTCGCTGACCTGGCGAAATCGAGTGCAGTTTTTAGAACAACTGCCTGATCAACCACTGTTGTACGTACATTTGCTGGGAAGCTCAGCCGCTGGCTCTATGTGATCAATGACTTGATTATGCATAATAAAGTACTCAGAGCCTCCCAGAATAGACCCCTTGATCATGGTGGCAAATGAAAGCAGAAGATTGGTTATACAACACATGTGTCGGACTACGTCAACGAAAATTTTAGTTGAACAGCAGCAGAAATGGGGAGTTGTGCTACCGTTCTCACAAAAAGGCTTACAGCATGAGCGAAAATAAGGACGGGAGCATTTCCGACAGACGGGCAGGACAGCGGCTTTGCCTTCGTGCCGAGGTGGTATCAAACATTGCAGTCTTACCCATGCCTTGATTGAGCGCTTCCATTGGGAGCTATACCCACACCAGAATCGAGCCATTACGAAACAGTTATATAATTTCGATAGCAGCACAAAGGTCAAACTGCTGCCCAGGTCGCCGCAAATCGCATTTGAGCCCCGAGTAGTTTCCGAACTACCGAACAAGCTAGCGGCGCCAAACAGGTCATGCTCCAGCTGCGAGTTCAGCGCGGCGCTCTCGGCGGCTGGCGAGGCCCCGCTATCCTGAGCACGGCGGAGAATAGCCAGAACCCGGCGCGGTCCCGGCCCGGCCATTTCGGCCCGCGTGACCGGACTGGAAACCCCGCGGGACCAGTGGACCGACGTGCCACCTCCTCGCTGGAGCTCTCGCTGTCTGGTCCGGCTCGTCCAGACCAGATGAGGCCTGGCGCGCCATCTCCTCGCTGGAGCTCTCGCTGTCTGTTCCGGCTCGTCCGCACCAGATGAGGCCTGGCGCGCCACCTCATCGCTGGAGCTCTCGCTGTCTGGTCCGGCTCGTCCGCACCAGGTGAAGCCTGGCGAGCCAGTTCGTTGCGCCACCGCGCCGCGTCGGCCGCCGGCTGTGATCTCGGTTTGTGGAGCGCGCCGCCGTCAATCGCGTCTTTAGCTGTCGCAGTTATCGGTTCCGGCCCAGATGCGGTCCCGACCCTCTAGTTTACGCTTCGAGCAGCATCGAAAGCGGCAGTGACTGCCACCAGCCAGCGCATCTTTTCAAAGATCGGGACCCTGCCCTCTCTAATTCAGTTCCTTTTCAAGCGCAAGTCAGGCTATACCATCCTCGCTGTCATGAGTGACGTAGTCAGAGCCGTTCTGAGACCAGGCCCTGCTCCCTCAGAGCACAACGGCACTCTTAGCTTTGAAACTAGTCGCCATAGTCTATGAACCCGCCCCCAGACAAATCTCTTGTTGCTAAGTTGTACGAGTTAACCTCAAGACAGGCAACAGCTACGTTGGGTCAAGAGCCCAACATCAAAGCACGCCTAGACCACCATAGCTCACGACGTTATCACCCGACTACGCCGGATTCAGCATACTCCACCATTCGATTCTTGAACCACCCCGTAGCCGCCAAGGACGATATCTTAGCCCCAATGGCCTAATACCGGGGGATGGGGTCCGTATATGTTAAAGGGCTCGGCGTTTGCCCCTGACCATGAGCCGGGTGCCTGGCTGCTGGAGTGTTCCGTCGTCCAGCGCTCCCTCCCTAGGGAGAGATCGTTACGCCGATAACGTGAGATGTCCCGCGGGGTATAAAATAACCGCAGAGTTATCATTGTAGCTACACTACTGACCGAGGACGCAAGGCCGTCGCCGCCGCCCGACCCACGTCGCTCAGCCTACGCACCAGACGTGGCCGAGACTCACCAGCGTGGCGTTGTCGAACTGCGGGTGGATGATGACGTCATCCACGTCGATCTCCTCGTGGCCGACCGGCTCTGACGTCGAGCTGACGTCATACTCGCCCAGCCGGACCTTGAGCACAGTGTGCAGCCGGTTGCCCAGCGCCGCGCTGCCGCCGGACAGATCAGACGGTCAGGGGCGGGGGTCGCGTCCCACAGCGCGCGGGCGGACAGATCAGACGGTCAGGGGCGGGGGTCACGTCCCACAGCGCGCGGGCGGACAGATCAGACGGTCAGGGGCGGGGGTCGCGTCCCACAGCGCGCGGGCGGACAGATCAGACGGTCAGGGGCGGGGGTCGCGTCCCACAGCGCGCGGGCGGACAGATCAGACGGTCAGGGGCGGGGGTCGCGTCCCACAGCGCGCGGGCGGACAGATCAGACGGTCAGGGGCGGGGGTCGCGTCCCACAGCGCGCGGGCGGACGCGCTGGGCTTAGCGGTAGATAACACACACGCAGCGACGGCGCCCGTGGCTGCCGGATGTGAGCTGCCCGCACGAGATTGTAGATTAATGACTTGCGGAGAGCAGAATAGCGTAAAAAGGTGAAGAGCGGCTTCAGAGATAGGATTCTCCAAAGTGAAGGATGCATGGCATCACCACAATGCCTTAGGTTAATCGCTACGACGTGGAGCAGCAATATATACAAATACCAGCAGTGCTTCCAACACAGCTTTGTGCTGAAGGCAACGAGTGGAAGAGAAACCGACCATAACTGAGTATTTATGGACGTTGTGATGGATGCCATTTTGAATGTGAGCGCTAACAGTTATAACAGGAGCAAACGACCTAATGCCTTACAATCCTGCCTACGTTTCATGTGCGACATTGTCACGATATTTATCGCTGTTCCTGCGGAGCAGTTTCGTACATCCGGCATCGCCTTGCTTGTGGTGACTCACTACAACACGCGGAAACGAAGAGTAAGAAAATCCTCGAAACCTGTTATGTTGAACTTAATAGTACTAAAGTTGTCAGCATAGGTTTCAGTTGCAGGCTCCATTACGGGGTCCTCCCTTTAATCTCACAACGTAATGCATGCATGCAATCAAGGCAAAGTTCGGTCACCGTCGCCTTGTTCCATGACTATATGTGGGCACATATATCAGGCCCATACTTTCCAGTGATATCCACCCCACCTAAGCGCCTTTGCAGTTATCAATCTCCTAGAACATGCGCGTAAATAAGCACAGAACCATGACCGCCACCCGAGTCTTCTGTCAGCAACAATCGTCAGCTTATTCCCCTCAGATCAGAGCCTGATGACCTCCCGATAAGCGACGCTTACTAGTCATCGACGATCAGCTTATTCCTCTCAGATCAGAGCCTGATGACCTCCCGATAAGCGACGCTTACTAGTCATCGACGATCAGCTTATTCCTCTCAGATCAGAGGTTGATGACCTCCCGATAAGCGACGCTTACTAGTCATCGACGATCAGCTTATTCCTCTCAGATCAGAGCCTGATGACCTCCCGATAAGCGACGCTTACTAGTCATCGACGATCAGCTTATTCCTCTCAGATCAGAGCCTGATGACCTCCCGATAAGCGACGCTTACTAGTCATCGACGATCAGCTTATTCCTCTCAGATCAGAGCCTGATGACCTCCCGATAAGCGACGCTTACTAGTCATCGACGATCAGCTTATTCCTCTCAGATCAGAGGTTGATGACCTCCCGATAAGCGACGCTTACTAGTCATCGACGATCAGCTTATTCCCCTCAGATCAGAGGTTGATGACCTCCCGATAAGCGACGCTTACTAGTCATCGACGATCAGCTTATTCCTCTCAGATCAGAGGTTGATGACCTCCCGATATGCGACGCTTACTAGTCATCGACGCAGTGGGCGGCCGTGATAAGCCAGCTTTCGTCCAGCAGGGACGCTCCGCATACGTACAGATCTTCCTCTTTCTCCAGAATGGCCGACTGAAACACAGCAACAGGAGTGAGCGTCACTCTCTAGGCCGCTGGGTTAAAAGAAACACCTTACTTCTCATGCGCATGAAAGCAACACATGCGCTTCTCAAGGTTGTTAAAGCCGAGCGTCATTACCATTGCACGACAGCCTCCAACATAACATTTCATGTGCTCTTGACAATCTAGTTCTTTGTGCAGTGCGTAGTATGTTATACTTGCATGTACCACCAGGGCCTTCAAAGGTGTTTGTGGTGTAATAAATGAACACATGAATATAAAAACACTCTATGACGACGCAGCGTTCATTGGGAGATAATTTACACAAAACGCCTGACGCGTTATTATGTGCTGCAAGGTTAATACATCAAAATCAAGACAGATAGTCCGTCCGTCCCATCCCGTGGCCCATTTGGTTAAAGCTCCTGCCTTCCGATCCACCCGCCCGTGGTGGGATGGGCTCGAGCCGCTTTAAGCGCTCGCTGTTTGGCCTTGACAGGTATGGCCTGCGGTCGGCAGCAGCGGTCGCGCTAAAGGTCAGATGACGTCAGAGGGCAGGACGGACCGTTCCGAGCATTGGCGCACGTTGAGCTTTGGCCACTACATTCTGCCGTTGCCTGGAATTGCGCGATCGGATGGTAGGGGTCGGGGCTCACACAACAAGCACTGCTGAGAGTGAGCTCTGATTCCAGAAATCCATCTATACAAATGATTCGCATCAAGTCTTTAAAAAAATAGTCGATAGGTCTTCTTTGATATCAAACAAAAATGCGCACATGTCAGGGCTTTCCTGCTAGGTACCGCGCCACGCAAGGGACAGGGATACCAGTTTCGTCAATCATTATGATCCTGCGCTTATGACGTTTGATAAATAGCCTGTGTGCAGTACAGAACCGAGAGCTTTCCTTGCACTCACTGCTGCAGCCGCCGGAGTCGTGCGGCGCAGCATGCCCACTCATGCTACATTGTGCTGCCATCTATCGCGAGAGGTACACATCGCGCTCAGACGCCGCCAGAAGGTGGCAGCAAGCGCGCGCGACACTCACGTGCCAGGGCCACTCGGCCATCTCGGCGAAGCCCTCCTTGTCGCTGTCGTGGCCCTTGGTGCCGCACGTCTTGCGCCGCCGCGCCGGCGGCAAGATGGTCAGCAGGCTCAGCGGCTTGACGTGATGCCGCGAGGTGCGAGGCATGAAGCAGCAGAACTTGTTGGACATGGGACACAGGCCGCGCGGCGAGCCTTTGCTGCAGACAGAGCGCATGTCGTCAGCCGCCGACGAGGGTTTTACAAAGTCGTGTGATTGGTGGATGTTTTGAGCATGAGGGCGTCGCGGAAGTGACTGGAAATTTCATTTTTGAATAGAAAGTGGGTTGAAGCGCGAATATTTCAGTTGGTGTCATTGCTTAGTTGCACATTTCAGTGATTTATTAACGCGACTCGGCGTTATTGGTGTGATTATGGAATGCATGGTCATTATTAAATCGTGAAACGGCCCTTAGTGGATCACGCATCATATTGATAATGATATACCATGACCCGAGCAAAAGAGAGTGACAGCTAACCTGAGAACAGCAAGCAAGATCACGATAAGGGATGTAATTGGGGTCAAATAAACGATATATGTGAGTCGATGTCTGCCTTCAAGGGTATAGCTGTGCAGTTAACATCCTTAAAGTCACGTGACACGGCAAGAGGTTTCCTGAGGCCGAGAGCCTTGTTCAAACATTCACAAGTATTCGCAACGCATTCCTCCAATAACCCACGAATCATAACAACGCCAGGTGCCAGTGGTCTCCTGGCGAAACCCTCACTTTAGGTGCCAAGTGCCAAGTGAGAACAATCGGATCTGGGCTTTTTGTGCACGCTTTCTTCGCGACTCCTGGCCGTATAGTACTAGCACAAATAAAACGCATTGGCGTCCATTAAGTCGTAACGCTTGGCTAGCTGACGCCTTTGAAGTGCGGACGCGATCCAGCGTCCGTAAAGCGGCGACTACCTTCCTAGCGGCGAAAGCCAAGTCAACATCATTGGTGTGAACGGAAACTTTCCGATTGATGCCTTGAGTGATTGACATGAGAGGCCATTACGTCGGGTCACATCGGGCAGCTGAGTTAGGGGACTGCGAAAGTTTCACGACAAGTTGACGGCTCCCTCTAACTTTCCCGTGAAGGTGACGGAAATAATTGCTTTTCCGAGATGTTGACCTCGGGCAATGAATGATGCATCAAAATTGTCCAAACACTCCGGTCATGCAGATCTCGCTAAAAGGTATATGTGCCGTCGCGAATCAAAATATAGCGGAGCAAGGTAAATCGATAAGCCTTGCGAAGCAAAGTATGTACGCAATACATTACACTGAAGTGTTCAAATATGCATGAAAAACAAAAGATTAAAAAAGAGAAAGAAGGAATTCCATCGACACACAATTCACCTTTGAATCGTGAGCCGGTGTGTTGGGGTATTGTTTCATGACATCAAACTCGGAACCAAGGCATCAAATTTATTTCACGACTCAATACTGTCTAATTTAATATTGTGGGGGCGATTAGTCGCGTCTTAGTAGATACCGCATAGCTTAGCGAGAAGTGTACGGTCACCAACGGTCAGCCAATGCTGACCTAAAGCCGTTCCTCGATTGGTCACAAGAGGGTATATGGTGGTAACTGGAGCCGACGAGCAGTTGTCTGGGAGAAAAATAATTACAGCCTGCTTTCCGAATCACGACCATCTCGTTTGATGCAAAGATGCAGTCGGCTAACTCAAATGAACAGCAAGTTCCTGACTCCTTTGAGTCAGCAAAAAAACATCCTAAAACGCTACAGCGTCATCAACGGTCGCGGCGTCTGGAGTTCACAGCATAACTCCCAGAGCCGATTCTGGAGAGGAGGTGACGCCGCGCCAGCTGTCATTGACCCCCTAGTGGAATCCCGAAAAGTACTTACTTGAGAATGCACTCCCAGTACTCCATGCAGTCACACAGATCGTTGTCTTCTGGTGAGTCGCCGAGGTGTTCTGATCTTACCAATGACGTCATCAAGACGGCTGCCAGCAGCAGCAATATTCCGAGTCTGCCGGCCAGACAAGACGGACGATGGAAACAGCGTTCTCATGGTTAGCTCCGAGGGAGGGTATGGTGTGATTAACTCTGAGTGAGGGTATGGGGCGATTATCGGGCACGCCGACCCCAAGGCTCGTTGTGCGCACAAGCGGTATGATTTATTTTTATTTGGCAATAACGTTTAAGCAGAGGATTGGCGTGCTCGGAGGCCGTGGCATGCTATGCCCACGTTTGTCTGAGATGATAACAAATAACTGTCATAGTCAATATGGTTCAGAACGGCTAAAACGTGCCTAAGTCATTTGACGACGAGCATCATAAAATGAACATGAACACGAATGTCAAGAAGTCTAAAGACACATATTCCCCAAACAATTCTAAGAGATTCATCCGAGCAAAATAGATAAGCATTCCGACCTCGTATCCACGACACGTGATGAGAACGTGTGCCGCGGTCAGCACGGCACCACATGATCTGCACTCCTGGGCGGGCTCTGCCACCAGACGGCATCTGTCCGTTTCATATGTGTGTGTCCCACTCACAATTGGCGCAGTGCCTTATTCTGTTTCTGTTACTGAGTGCCCCCCCCCCCCCCCCCACAGGTGGTTTAATGTGTGTGCAGCTGTTCCTATTTTACCATTCAGCCCGCATTACCATTCAGTCAGAGCATACACGGAAACCACACCCAAGTCAGATGCGGGTATCGCTAACTGAATAGATCTCGCCTATACACAGTTCAGGCCCTATGTGACTGATTTCCACCGCTCCAACACGGCTGGATATTCCTATGCAGCATACCGCCCTGTCCATGCCGCGCGGATGATGCAACTGTTCTGTAACAGGCCGCCTTAAACGGAGCGCTGCCGGGGAGAGTGCGATTTCGGAACCGGGAGCGTTGTTCGGGAATCAGTTGCGGCAACGAAGAGCGTTTGACTTTGCTCTCGGCCAAGCTTGAAGATATATTCACATGACATTGAGAAAGCTCTAGCCACCGCAAAAATGTATGACTATTACCCAGGTTGTAGCAAGAGGGTTCAATTCCAGAAAATTCAGTTATTAATGCCCATAAAATATTGGTAAGAAACATATTGCTGGCTTGTTTTGAATGCATACAGGTATAATTAATAACCAGCTATGACTAATAGTGGTTACAGTTTCTATACGCTTGAAAAATGACCCGATCAATTTCAGGCCAAGGTAAATCTCTAACCGCGGTGGAAGCATAGCCTAGCACAACCCGTTAGATGCACATTCCATGCTCCTCAGCATCACACGCTGAAAACTTAGCTGCATATTTACTTGCATCTGAGAAGACTGCATTTACCATTAGAAAGGCTGACTCATGACGTCTATGATGCAAGTGCAGAACTAACCTACACGAGGAGGAATTATCATGCGTTTATTTAGTCTGGACTACCAGGTGGCAACCATCAATTGTATCTGTGCATTAGGTGAGGGATATATGGCATCATCCAGACCAGATACGAATCGGCCTCGGCCAAAGTCTCGCTGAAACGTGGCCTAGCCGTGGCTAGCAGGAAAGCCCGCCACACAAGGACCGGATGTCGGCCAAGCTTTGCACCGAGATTTGATCATTTTCCACCACGCCTCCAGATAAATCCCCACCGGCCTGGAAAAGGCAATGGAAGCGAACCGCTGTCCGGGCGCTGAGCCGCTCTGGTAAGCCGGCGCTGAGCTGGGCTTCAGCTCAGCTCCGGTCGCCCCTGAGCTGAGCTTCAGCTCAGTTCCGTTCATCCCCGAACTGGGTTTGAGCTCAGCTCCAGTCGCGCCTGAGCTGGGCTTCAGCTCAGCTCCGGTCGTCCCCGAACCGGGTTTCAGCTCAGCTCCGGTCGTCCCTGAGCTGGACTTCAGCCCGGCTCCGGTTGCTTCTGGGGGTCAGCCGCAACGAATAGCCCGCGGCAGGCCGACGCGGCCCCGCCGCCAGAGGCTCCTGAGGGACGACGGAGTCCGGCACCCGGCAGTCACACCTCATGCATATGCATTGTCGACGGTCGCTGGCCGATTCGATTCGGTTCCAGCATGAAGCTGTTGAAAGATCTCGGTAGGTGGAAATGGCCGAATTCGCGGTCCGCGCCAACGCTGCGGGGCTTAGTGTCCCGAAACCACGTGGGGGCATTGGAGCAGGCCGAGCCCAGCTGCGCCAGCGGCTCGATTTGTGGACTGATGTCACTGCAGCTGGCTGCATTTCAGCCTTTCCCTGGTAGACCCGGGATGGAGCTCATTGCTCCCCCTCCCTCCCGTCCTCCCCACCCGCCCGCAGAGGTGACCGCACGGCCGTTGACACGGCACCATGAGCAATGATAGACATTTCCGGAAACCCACGGCTTTATGGCCCTCCGCCGCCGCGGTAAACGCCGGAGTTAACCACTCTATGTGGGAGTAAAGTGCAGGCAAATCTGACCAAGCATACTCCCATGGCGTTCTGCGGTCGGCTCCCGCCGAGTTTATGTTATGCGGAGCATGAAGCCCCGGGTGAATGGACTGTGTGCGCGTGTGCAACTGCAGTTCCACGGAGTCCGTTATACATTCGACCTTAGACGTGGCCTCTTCATGCAATGCTCGACTGAATGGGGTTAAACGGAGGTCGGGTATGAATGGAGAACGGATCGGGAGAGCGGGCATGGAATTTGAATCACCTGCTGTCGACCAGCATAACCGGAACGGTATTGCACTGCTTAATGGTCAATAGTGAAAGCAAGACAACAAGCTACAGAAGGTCAGCCAAGTGACAGCTCTGTTTGTTCGCTTGGTGATAAATATCGTTATCATTTACGCCAAGGCAGAGGCAGAATCCCGTGGCGACGGTCATGACATATCATACCTCAAAGGTGCGGATAAGTTAAAGATGACCTTTCTGGTTCGTCTGCCGTCTAGCAAATGTTCTGTCAAGCTTAGTTTACGCAGAGTCGGATTCGGAAAAAGACGAAAACGTAAGATTTAGTCTGTGTCGTCCATCTCTGTCTGGAGCAGCTGCATCGTGAATACGGGCCACCTCGCTCGGGACCGACCTGTGCCCCGAGACACGTGATCACGTGATACGCTGAAGACCAATCAGGGTGCTTGGCCACACTGCGGCGCGCGCGGCACCGAAAAACAAGTCATGTGGTACGTGATGCTGAGATTAAAGCTATTGTTTTTTTCTTCTTCTTCGTGGAGGCATCAAGTGAGCGGATTATCCTTGGCAACTTTAAATGACGCTATCTTTTGCAACTGCTTGTAAAACTGATGTGAATGTCATGCCTGTCTACTGCGTCTATTAAACAGCCAATAAACAATAGGAGATTCATGCTTAATGGTTGGATTTCTCTAGACGAGGAGATTGCGATAATTCTGGTAACGGTAAAATTTAGCAGCATATATTGAATGACTGAGTCCGTTTCTCAAACTTAAGCTTGTGACACGCCACCCCAGATTTTCAAACCCTGTATGTTTGGTTGGTTGGTTTGAAGTACATACGTGTGTATTTTTATAGCGAAGCTGGAAAGTCAGAGGATTGAATGTCGTCCCCTGACAAGTGATGGCATTTCGCCACCAGCCCCTTGCACTTATTTATTTCCAATCGCAGTCATTGAGTCATGGTCAAGGCTTTGTATCTATGGCGGGTCTGCACACTCAGATATTTGGCCCAGTTCTTTCATTTTGTGGTCAAAATCACCAAAAAGTTGTCAAAAGTATCTAACAAGCGCAGGGTGATTGTGGTTTGGGGAATTTGACCCCCAGCTCCACATGTTTTTTTGAAGCTATGATTATGCACCATATAAAATGCAAGTAATGGTCTTCCATGTCGCCAAAACGTTAAGCTACAACAATAACTTGAATGAATGAACTGCCTGCGCTGCTGAAGTGGATCGTGGAGCTGCATCGCTGCGATTAGAACACATTCAGGACGTTTGAAACGAATAATTACAACGCATGATTGCACGACACTGCTTTAAGCATATCCCCGAAGGTGCATATCTTCTCATCTTATGACTGGTTTAACTGCATTCGGGCCAAACGTGTGCCACATTGGCCTCTCTTGCAGTCCCAACACAGCCCCGCACACGTGTTTGTTGTGAGGACCGTACTCTGTGCAGTGCCGACTCGCTATCGGGGGCCACTGTTCGCGGCGGTGGGTGGCGCGCGCACAGCCCGCCCGCGCAGCATGTGGCCGCCAACACCCTCTCCTGCAACAGGGCCTGGTCAGCACTTTTACCTGGGCTTCGCAGTCACGTCTTCCATGCCCGTCGCCGTGGCCGGCTACCAGGCTGCCATCTAGCGAGCGACGACGGCAACGAACACGTAACATGACATCTGACCATGTTGAGCCGTGATCCTATATTGGGACAGGAGCGCATAGCTGCCGCGCACAGGATACAGGTCCCCGTGGGGAAACTGCCATAGCGGCCACGACGAATGATGTGGCCACAATGGCTGCAACAATATTGGCACGATTGCTACACAAATTTGGTGCTGATTTTTCGCTGTTTCTCATTCCACTGGTGACGCATCCTTATATATTATATTCACGTTAACAGCGGTCCTCCGCAGAAGCAGTGCCAAAGACTGATACCATCAGAAATCCCCACGCATCTTAAACACCCATGTCGACACGCACAGCATTGTGAACGGCTTACACATATACCGGTGTGCGTGTCTGTGTGTGCGTGGGTGAAGGTAAGTGGTTGAGGTTACGTAGACATGCGTGTGGGTTGAGGATGTATAGCTGGTGTGCGAATGGGCCAGAGCAGGTTAACTCAGTTTGCCCAGCTGTAATGTTTGACAAATGAACATGTTTGTTAGGATGGAATCATCAGATCAACTTTTCACCAAGTTAGCCGCCACCACTTACGCAAAATCTGACACTTGCGAGTGACGACGGGGGGTGGTGGCAAGAAGGAAATAACAATGTCGAACTAACGCGAGACTCCTAAAGCGATTATCGCAGACACGTTGGGCCCCCCTCCACGCTGTCACCCCCCCCCCCATGGAGCCATCAGATGCATAAG